TATATATGATATAAGATATATATACAAATAATATATAAGCACATTAAACATTGAAATTTAAATGTAAATATAATGATATCATAATGATTGTATAAAAATTATAATGTTGAAAATAAATTTTTTGTTTATTATTATATGTTTTACAATTTACATTGAGTTTTGAATTGTTTTAATTGTATTCAAATAATTCATTATTTGATCATTTACAACAAATTAAAAATGTGATAAAATAACTAAACATATTGTTAATTGTTTATTCAATATTATCACTCTCATAAACAAGTTCAATGTTAAATATTTTAAACATGTGTGTATTGATTTAGTAAATACTTTTATGTATTGAAGGTGTAGTTTTTGAACATATAATATTATTTGATATTTTAATTTGTTTTTAATTATTTCGTTGTAAATTTTGTATCGTTTTCAAAATTATATAAAAACATAAATTAATAATTTAAACTATAATTGTTGTTGATTTAAATGATGAATTATATATTTTTATAATAAAATTGTATACAAATATATAAATTAATATGGTGATTATACAAAAAACAATTAATATATAAATGAAAATTTAATGCATTTATTTATTTTTATTTTTCATTTAAATATTTGTATATAAAATTTAAAAGAAATAACTACGATTTTGTTATTATAATTTGTATTAATTCTAAAAAATATAAACCTTTATAAATTATTATAATTGTTGTACAAAGAAGGATCTTTAAATTATTATTAAAATTGTATTATATATTATAATTAATGTAAATCGATATTTATTTTGACAAAAATAAACAATAATTCTATATAATATAAAATATAACATTCAATGGTTTGTTCATCATTAAACAAGTGTTATTTTTATAATATTTAAGTTTAATCATTGTTATTTACATTAACATTATTTAAAAAAAATTGTTGAATAAAGATAATTTTGTGAATATAGTTTAAATTTTTGTATTTATTTTACTATATACAATATACACATAATTAATTACATTATATATATTATAATATAGTTTTTTATAAAACTTGATGTAAAATTGCAATACAATTTGCTAATTGAATTTATTTCACAAATATTTAAATATTATTTCTATTTGTATAAGTTAGTTTATATAATTTTACATTGATACTTAAATATGTACAGATGATATAAACTTTGTGATTATAACAATATTTAAATTATGAATAAGTTTACAACGCAAATTATATTCAAAATGATTATTTTGATTTTTATTTAATAAAAATGTAGAAAAATAATGAACAATTTATAATATAATTTAATCAAATTTTGTAAAAATTGTACATGTGTTTAATACATTAGTTTTAAAAAATCCATTATAAATTGTTACAATAAATGTTTAATATATTTCTATGAAAATACACAAAATTTATATTAAATAACAAATAAACAATGATTAATAATCATTTTAAATATAAATATGTCATTACATATTAATTCAATTAATAAAAATAATTAATGTTTAAATTTATTTAACAATTATTATAATTTTCATCATTAAAAATATAAACATTTTGTGGTTAAGTTATTTTTGACATATGTATAAAGTAATTGTATTTAGTAAATTGTATTAAAATTCAATCAGTTCAGTTGTATTTAATAAAGTTTTCAAATAAAAAAAGTATATATTTATTGTTAAATGCTTTTATTTTTATTATGTAACCAACAAATTGAATGCTCAAAAAGTAATAACATTATTAATTAAAATTTAATATCTTTACATGTATAAAATAATAATGTAGTTTTGAATCATAATATTTTCAAAATTTATTTTTTTGTTAAATATTTATATTGTTAAAGTGGTGTAGTTTATTAAACATTAAAAATAACACGTAAATTTATCGCTGATATATCATTTTATTAAACATAATTTAAATAACGTAGTTTCCCACAAACAACAAAAAATGATATAAACGTTATATATTATATTATATTATTATAATTATTAGGTGTAGTTTTATCACATTCACATTTAAATTTTTGAGAATATATCAAAAATAAGTTTATTAATCACAATTTAATTATCATAACTACAATATTGTGATTTTAGTCTGTAATTATTAACTATAACAAAAATAACTATTGTTATTATGTCAAATTGTATTCAAATTTTGTTTTTAGTAATGAAATATAATAAAATACTCGAAAAATAAATAAATAAATTTATTATTTTAACAAGAATATGATTAAAACGGGTTATTATAATTTAATAAACGATAAATAATTAACTTATTGTTCGTATAATTTAAAAAATCTCGTTTATAATAAAAATGTCGTTTATATAATGTAATTCATTTCTATTAAATCTGATAAAAATGTTAATGTATCAACAAATACAACCGTTAATATACAATCAATTTTATATTAATTAAAAATAATAATAAGGAATCATATAATGAAAGTATATTTATACAATCAAATAATACAATAAAATTGTTTAATGTATTGTTAGTGCCGAATAATATTATTAATTTAAATAACATTAATTATATATTTAATAAAAATTATTGATAAAAATATAAATTTAAAATATAATGAAATCAATTCAATTACAAATAAAACATTTTTTCAATTACTGTTGTATTAATACTATTTAAATTAAATGAATTATTATAATTAATAAATTAGTTTATTGATTGATTTATTGATTATTATAAATTATATTATATATAATAATATATTATAATAATTGTATAACAAATTATAATATTTATATTAATTATTAATAAATACAGTAGTATTATTATTTTAATTTGAATGTTGTTTTATATTACATTATAGTGTATTTTAAATACACAATTGCTATCAAATTGATGTCAATTTAAATAATGTATCAAGTTTTATAGAGTTTAATGTATGTATTAATATTTTTATTCTGTTTTTGTGCATAGTTCTTAGTCTTGTATGTATTTCAAATGAACTTGTATAAATATATTTTATTTGAAATTGAATTTAACAAGCAAATACCAAACATATCATTGCCTTGTAAAATACCAATTGTTACATATTACATATAACCACACATTTTGTTATTCTCTGTTGTTTATTTTATTAGAAAACTTTTCGATGTTAAAGTACTTCAATAACTACCCAGGTTAATTGTTATAAAACAACAAAAATATTAACAACACAATTAAATTACACCAAAAATTACACCTCTTTGTTTCTTATTAAAAATCGTGAAAATAAATATTAATATACCCAATTTATTCAAATTATAAAATAACAATAGACTCAGAGAACCAGAGTAGTTATTTTATTTTTTTATCAAAAACAGTCACTTTTTATTTTATAATTTTACAATAATGATAATACCAAAATATCCCGAAATTACACGATAAACTTATTTAATGTATGTTTTATAATCTAAACAGAAAATTAATTGTAATAATCGAAATATGTATAAATAATAAATACATTAACTTATTAACCGTTTCTTGATGTTTAATACTCATAATCAATAATATTTTACATAAATATAATCCAGTGTTATTATTAAATATTTATTGTGTTCATTATTTCATATTATTTATTTTGATAACACTTTTTAGTATTAAATATATTAATTATTTAATTATAATAGTATGAATAATTGATAATAAAAAATTAAACAGAATACCACCCTCTTATTTTTCGAATTCATATTAATTATCTATTTTAAACTAATTGTCTTAGGGCATTATTCAAATTTCGACACCACATTTATTACTAATTACTATAATTTAATTTATGATATTAAATGGAATGTAATAAAGTTATATAGAATAATACACAAACACACGATAATATCAGTTTATCACATAACAACAACTCTAATTCTTTGATTTCATTGCACATTTAAAACAAGTTCTCTTTTTTTCATTTTAAGAATTATACAAACACACATGACTATGCAGTCGCGTTACAGAGAAAAAATCCGTTGCATCAATGAACGAACACTTTTAACACATCTTCAGTGTGCGTTACTTGCTTTCATCTCGACAAAGGCTGGCGTTGTTCTGTGTCGCCCCCCAAAAAAATCGGGCGCTTTTCACACGAATTTCTCAACATTTATTCCATCACATTTACAGATGAAAACACAGTATTTGAATTTAACTTGCACACATTCTTTAAAAAGAGGAAGAAAGAGAAGTTGCAACAGCTAATCAAAGACGGCGGATTTGCCAAAAAGTGTAATCGCCAAATTGAGAACGAAAAGAAGAGAGACACCATTCACATTTTAGAAGACATTTTGTTTGAAGACGGTTTTGTTGTGTTTTATGATAACGAGAACAGAGAAGGGATACGTGGAAATGTATTTATTCAAATGCCAAATGGAGAGTTGTTGAACAAAGATATGATTGTAAAACTTGGTGAGGCGGTTTGGAATTATTGCACAGATAAAATGAATGACGACAAGAAACCAATTCTGATACAAGAAAAAGTGGTGCTATCGCAAGCAAAAGTGATGGAGATCATCAACAATATCGTTGCTTGATAAACTGTAAATAAATATATTGTTATTTTAATTGTGATATATAAATGTTAAGTTGTATCGTATATTGTGATATATATCAGAATATCAATGTTAATTGTTTACATATTGGTTAATATTAAGAATTGATCAAATATATATTATACAAATAAATCGTTTTATTTTAATTTAATATGTATTTTGATATCAATACATTAATATAATTAAATAACATATGATATAAAATAACAAATAATTAACATTAAATTACAACAACAATTAATATAAAATATTATTGTTATTATCGAAAAGTAATGTTATAACTGAATTTTTGTATTTTATAAACATTTAATAATATGTTTTGAAGTATTGAAATATATGTAACAGTTTAATCAATAAATAACTATTTAGACATTATTTAGTATATAACCAAACAACATTTATATTTATATACATTTTAATATTATAAAAATACTAATTTATTTATAATATATATAATATTATAATTTGAAATGTTAAGGTTCCCTTTTTATATAATATTATTTTATATATTAATTTTGATTGTTAATTGTAATATCTAATACGAACTAAAAATAACACGTTGGTTTATTATAAAATTTGGTATTGAAACTGTGTTTGTAAAACACATTCAAACATTAATTATCGTTTATACAATAGCATTTATGATTATGTGTTAGAATGTTGTACACATATATTTTATCTTGTTTTATGTTTGTTTATCTGTTGTTTAATATTATTTAAATTGGTGTTTGAATCAATATTATATATTAAATGTTTTTGTTGATTATTATAACCATATTACACATATATAATTGTATTTGTATGACATTTACAGTCAAAGAAGTATATTTATTATAATACTAGCAAAAGTGTATATATTGTCGTAAATGAATGAATTTTGTAGGAAGTTTTTATTATTATTAAAATTTGTTTTATATAAAATGTTTATTAATACAACATATGTTACATATTCGAGAACAAATTATTAAACTGTTTTAAATTAAAATGATTGGCCATGTGTACGACAAATGAGCAATTTCGACAATTATAATTACCATATAAAACACTTTTTACTGAAATACATAATATATAAATAATAATTTATACTTATTCCCACATTATAACCATATGAATATATTTTTATAAATGTTTAATCGTCATATGTTAATAATATTACATTTTTGAAATTGTCTGTAAAATACAATATATCATTATCGTTTTTTGATTGAATAAATGTTTATGAATAACTTTTTAAAACTTGAAATATTAAAATAAATTGTGTTTATTGATATAAAATATTTATAATTTATATCATGTTTTTGTTTTGATTATGTTTAATTGTGTTTGTGATTAATATAAAGTAAAATAAAACAAAAAATGTTAATCGCCTTTTTCCTTGTCTTCTTCAAAGTCTTGGAATTTCACTACTTTTGGTGGAATAGTGACTTTCTTCATTTTGATAAATCCAATTTCAAATATTCCTCTCACAAAAATGATTGCCACAATTGCAAATACAAGGACTTCTATTTTTCTAAATAACAAACTATAACATATAGATACCACAAACATGAGTACAGAAAACAGCAGCCCAACAACCATCCCCGTCTGCGTCCAATTTAATTCATACACCACACACCTCCCCTCACAATTTCCAAGAAAAGTATTCAGACAGTCGACTGTCTCTCCATCAAAGAAGTTGTTGAATAGATATCGTGTGTAGCTATGCACAAAATCAGTGATTCTTCCTTGTACCGTTCTCTTTCCATTTCGAGTGATGTCCCCCTTTTGCGCACCCGTTCCTGTGTATTCCCACGATAAACAGTCTCCATTGTCTGCCCACAACTTAACAAACATTGAATTGAATTCTTTGTTGTTCATCAATGAAGTGCACTCTGGAAGGACATTGACTTCTCTTAAAAATTGCTGTGCAGTGAGTCGTCCAAACACACTTTCGCACACATTGGTTCGATCAAGGGAGTCGATGCAGTTCACTCTAAAAACACCTTTTTGTTTTGTCATCACAACTTCATTTGTAGCAACATAAGAGCCATAATTTACTCTTTGAAAAACGCACTCCAAATATGAGAGTAACTCGTTCATCTTCTTCATCATCTGGTGGAAGTCAATGCACTCAATTGTGACACTTTCATTGGCCATTTTATTCACAATTTTTTCATATGTTTTACCCAATTCAAATTCAGTGCCTTTCTTATCAACTAAAGAGACGACGCTTGTGGTGTTGTACTTCTTTAAAACGTCTTCAAAGTGCCTTCTCATCACTTCCATATTTGCAGTCTCATCTTTGCATATTGCGATGTCGGGCTTGTAATGGAAATTGGGCACTTGAGACCACTTCAATGGGATACTCCCACGCAACTGAATATAACTGCTGATGTTATTGTTCACTATGACTATCTGTTCCGTCTCAACATGATTTGCACAATACCCATTTTCGTCTGATCCACGCGTGTAATAACGCCGCCCAACGTGTTGATTTGACCGCCGACTGATCAAAATCAACTCGACTTTATTGTTTAAAGTGTCAGAAATGGCACACTCGGACTTTCCTACAAAGCCACATATGGTCGGAAAAAACAGCAAATTTTCAATTGAATTTTTGCTTGGAAAAGCAGTGAACATGTTTTTGTTCCATAAATAGAGTTCATCGGGGTCGTTGTGTTGGTCCGAATACGGTCGTGTCAAATCATAAGTGTAACTGAAGTAGAAATTGTTACTTGAGAACGTTTTGTTGATAACTTTTCGGTGATACAACGCCTCTGTTTTTGTTGAGTGTTCTGTGACAGGTACAATTTCGTATTTTTCTATTTTGAATATTTGGTGTGTGAAAATAGTTGCAACCAACTTCTTTTGAGTGACAACAATTAAGTAATCCACAGAAAATAGTTTGTGTATCCCATAAATGCATTCGGCTATTAAAACTTGAAGTGGGTTGTTTTGTATTGTGATATTTTCATGTGTAATTTGTTGTGTTTTTCTGTTTATAAAAACGTTTTTCTTATGTTGTATATCACTTGAACTATTTGATGAAATAATTATTGTGTCTGTATATACTGAGACACTTAGCGGTTTCGAATCATCAAATGACATCTTTGAATTTAATTAAATTCGATCCGGTATTTTATCAACTATAAAATACTTATTAAAGAAACCCTTTTTGTATGTTTATATTTGTTATAATTTCATTTATTGTTATTTTTTATTAATAGTTTATAAATAGTTTATATAATTAATAATGTAAACTAGATTTATTATTTACATTTAATTATATCCACATATTACTATTATTTATAATAAATATACTATATACTATAATTATATAGATTTTATTAAAAAATTATAATTTTATAATTATATTTCAATCTATTCAAAAAAATTTTAAAAGAATTTAAAAGAAACCATTTCAAACCAATAAGTGAATTACTTCTCTCCAAACGCCAATTCACTGAATTTGACACTTCTTTTGTCTTCAAATTTAATGTTTTTCACCCCCAACGATTTATAGAAGCAGAAATCGCCAACTTTTTTAACACTTTTTGGGACTCTGATGATGTTGACCTTCTTGTAATTTCGGAAGCATTGGTCGCCCAATTCTGTCACGCCATCTGGCACACTCCCAACACTCTTCTTATTTTCTTTGACAATTTCTAAATGTTTTTCCACGTCGTTTTGCTCAAACACAACTCTTTTGCACACAACCAAATTTTTCTTCAAACTTTGAGAAACGCTGAACGAGACGGCAAATTCAATTTCGTCGATTTTTTGATTTTCAATAAAAATGTTTTTCAACTGTTCGCAGCCGTCAAAAACAGTTGAAAACATTTTCAACGGAATTTTTGTGAACTTCACACGTTCGAGTTTTGCGCACTCTTTGAACGCAAAATCGCCGATATAAGTGACTGTGCTTGGAATTTCAATGTCACTCAAACTGTCGCATTTTTCAAAGCAGTTTTCCTGTATTTTTGCAACACTTTTTCCAATCAAAATCTTTGAAAGGGATGAACATCTCGAGAAAGCAAAACTTTCAATGTATTCCACACCCTCCGGCACTTCAAATTCACTTAACGAAAAGCACTCGCTAAATAGCGACTTCCCAACTTTCTTGACGCGTTTAAAATCGTCCGTTATAATTGATTGTGTGACTTCGACTGTTTTGAGTGAATGGCAGCCGCAAAACACGGCACTGCTGTTTAATAGAATCAACGGGACTGTCGCTCTTTGAAGGAGGAAATTGTTGTAAAACACATTATCACCTATTTGAGTGACACTTTGTGGAATTGTAATTTCAGTGAGACCACAACGCTTAAAAGCAGCACTTCCAATGCGTCGAAGACACGCTGGGAACTGCACTTCTCTCAAGGAAATGCAGTCTGAAAATGCGTCATCTTCTATGGAAGTCAAATTGGAAGAAAACTGGATTTCACTCAAATTGCTACAACTGCAAAAAGCACAGCGAAGAATTCTCTCGACATTTTGCGGCACAACAAAAGATGACAACGAACTCGTTTTGTTGGAATACGTCAAAGATATTTTGAGATCATTTCCAAAGTTGTATTTTGAGACCATGTCACGCGGAAGACAAACGTTGCTACACTTTATATTCAACCGGCTGAGTCTCACCATTTCTGTAACACTCACAAGTCCTGAGAATGTCAATTTACCACACAAGTCGACATTTTTAAGTTTGTCACAATTTTCAAAAATGTAGTCTCCGATGTGAGTCAAAGTAGTTGGGAGTGTTACAGAGACAAGACTTGGACCAAAGAAGTTGTCACCAATATCACAGACGGCACCCAAGTCGACTTCTTCGATATTCACAGACTTAAAAAAATTATCAGAAATTTTTGTGACATTTGATGGTACTGTGATCTTCGTCTGGATATCTTGAATACATTGATTACCAAATATTTCAACTGGATGTTTGCACTTCTCCACGTCTTTAAAATCTGACATATCGTGATTATTATAACTGTCAAAGTAATACAAAACACTGTCGTATGTATACCCAAACTTCTCTAATATCGGCGTTTCTTCTGATGTTGGTGTATATCGGATTTTCATGTTGTCGTTGGGAAGTACAAGTTTTGTGAGTGATGTCAGACCACTTAAATTGTTCTCTATTACTGTCGTGTAATCGTCAAGTACCAACTCTTCAAGTAAACAACAGTTGTAAAATCCTTTGTAATAAACATCGTGAACGTGTTCAAGACCGTAGATGTGTTGCATGTTTGTAAGATGAGTTAAGCGAGATGCGCCAATGTCATACGAGTATCTCAGATTCACATAAAACTATTGTGTTATTGTTATATTATTAAAAGTAATAGTGTATATGTAATAGATATGTATTTTTTTATATTGAATGTATCAAATATATCAAATATTATATATAAAACAATAACTTTATCAGTTATAATTCAAAAACTCTCTAATGATATGGAGTGTATGCTTTTCATAACAGTTTTAATTTACTGTATCAAACATTAGAGATATTATACATCATTTATATATTTTAAAAATGATTAAATTACAAATTATATTTAAATTTATTTTGTTCAACAAATTACTAATTAACTCGACATTTTAACAAATTGAATATTTTGTGGTTAAGTAATTATTGTTTATTTCCATATTAACATTACATATATTACATATATACAATTTATAAATATTTCAATTGATATAATAACAAACCTTCTCCTTGACATTATCCTCTTCACGGACATAATTTTTCGCCTCTACAATCCAGTCTTTTTCAACTTCGACATTTTCATAAAACTTTTTATATATTGCCTCCTCTTCCCGACTTATTATGGTATTAACCTTCCCTTTCGTAGTTGGCACAATTAATTTTGTCAGTCCAGTGCACCCAACAAAGACTTCTTCTTCAATAACACAACTCTCACCAAATACAAGTTCTTTGATCTCTTCACAGTTTGCAAACGCATTGTTTCCAACAATATAAACACTTTGAGGAATTGTTATCTCTTCAAGTGACTTACAACCCTCAAACGCACAACTTTTAATCTCCAAGAGGCCAGCTGGCAACTCGACTTTTGAGAGAACTGAACAGTTCGCAAACGTGGAAGTCTCAATTGTTTTTATACCCTTTGGAAGACTCACTTTTTTGAGGTGGACGCAATCCATAAATGCTGACCCAACATACATGATGGTCGATGAAAGTGTCACTTCTTCAATACCACAGCCTTTGAAAGCCTTTGACTCTATTGATGTTATTGTGGGTGGTAAGTTGATCGTTTTTAAGTTGACGCAATCAGAGAAACAACTATTAGGAATAGACGTGAGACCATCACAGAATGTCACACTTTCAAGAGAAGTATTATCACTGAACGCGGCTTCTTCCAACTCTGTTATGTGTTTTGGAATGTCAAAGTCTTTTATATTCAAAATCCCCATAAATCCATTTCCTAAAATTTTGATGTTTCTGTTTTGATGCAACTCTTCCAGTAAAGCATTTTCATTTGAATCATTTGAAGAACTTTTATTTTCCATTTGGTCGGAATTTTGAGATGGAAAGTCGTCGGAAGTCATTCGAATGTTTTTGAAAACGTGAAAAGTATCTTTGGAGTAACTTTTAACAAACGAATAGTCGACTGGGTACAACACGACAAAATGTTGTATGTTTTGCAGTTCAACATCGTTGTCTGTGTACAAGTACTGCGTTTCCATACACGGGAAAAGTCTTGTGGAAGTCACTGGGATTGGGTTGTACCGAAATCGATCTAAAATACATGCAAATTTCTTACAGACTAAAACAGCATTAAGATAGTCGTCTGAAAAACAGAAGTGCTGTGCTACTATTTGGAAATTAAATGCATCCAATTTCGAAAACATTTTTTTGTTTAATAAGATGATATTCCAAGTTTTTATTCACGTATTGTTCATTTTTAATAAAAATAATCCGAAAAGACAAGATTCAAAATGATATCAGAAGTTCTTTTATACGAAATTAAGTTGTTTGAATTTGAGAATTTCATGTTTTACAACCAATACAAGCAAAAAATGCAGGTTTTTACATATAAAATGTTTTTCTAATAAAGTCAGTAATAAAAATATATCTAGAAGACTAAAAATTGCTATAATTGAGTGTAGAAGAAGGAAATTTAAATACATTTGGAATTCAATTGTATTAGTTCGACATATAGTAATTTACAAAAATAAAAAGGTTTGTGTTGTTATTGTTTATTTTTCTGTTTTTTATAAATCTTTTTTGTTGTGTTAATTTGCATTTTATTTTGTTTTAAGAAATTAAAACAATGCCACATCAACAATGTCTTGAGCATTATTTACAACTGAAAAAACATTTAATTAATAATACATTTGTTGTTTAGAAGCCATAAATTAAAAATAATTTGTTATTTCTGATTTTAAAACATTAAATGAATGTTGTTAATTGTTATAACATTATATATATATTTGGGTTGTATTAAATTGTTAAAAATATAAATTATATCTATATTTCCTCAAAATAGTTACTTTTTAATAAAGATTTTGGTTGTATTGAATTAGTTCATTATAATAAAACTATTATAGATAAGCAGAAAAAATATAATATTGTGTGTATGTATTACGTCTTGCATTACAATAATATTAAATAAAAATTATATTAATTTAATCATTGAAGTAACTTATCTGATATTGGTTTTCCAAAGTTGTTATATTCAAATTAAAAACAATTTATAAAAATATATATGTTAATAATAAGGTATTAAATGGCATCAACTAAATTATTGTAAACTGTAATTGTTTGTATGATGTAATTACTTATTATTTATGTATCATTTTGCACAAATGATACATTAATGCTTTCATGTATTTACCATGAAAGCATTATCAACCTCCATTGTAAACGATACCTTTTAATTAATTATATTAATATAATTTAAATTTATGAATTCAAGTGAAAGTGATTATATATTTTTAGTATAACATTATAATAATATAATTAAAAATAAAGTAAATAATTGTGTTTTTGGGTTTTCACATCAAAAAATGCCATATTGTAAACAAAATGTAACAATTAAAAAACTGCAATATTCAATCAATTAGTTAACAAAATGCCCATCTTCTACACATTTATTATAATACTGAACTAGATCAGTTTCGCGGCCTCTATGAAAAATGATATAATTTTTACCATATTTTCCAGATGTGCCAGTTCCAATTTGTTTAGGAAAAACAAAAGTCAATTTCATATGTTTTTCCATTGCGTATTTATAGCTCAAAAATCCAAAAGGGGTGTCTTCAAGTGAACTTGGTGGTATTTGGAAGTACTTGTCCCACGTTGAGAAATACTCTGCCATATCATTCGAATATAACGCGATGTACCCCGCCACAAATGGATAATATTTTTTGAATGGTTGAGCAAACATGTCATAGTATTTGCTTTTTTTATTTCTTTTTGGATTGTTAAAGTAAAAATGACCAAAGACCGTGCCTTCAGTTGGGAGTTCTATTAATAAGTCGCACAGCATGTCCACATTCACAACAACGTGATTATCAAAACGTCCATAAAACTTGTATCCTTTAAATATTGGGTACATAAATATATACGAGGCAATGTCCTTCTGATACAACGTGTTCCACGTCTCGTTCAAAAAAGGCATATCAACAAAATAAATATCGTGTTTCGTCATATTCATTTCTTTAAACAATTTAGTTTTATTTGCCTGTGTGACACTCCCTCGAACTAATATAAAAATGCATTTGAATCCAAATTCAAGTTCGTGTTTCTCTTGACACCAAGTGTTACGAATGTTGATGATGTTTTGCGCTTTATTTGGCATTGTGTGGATCATAGCCAACAGCAACTTCTTTGGGTATTGTGTGTTGTTGATGTGAATAGGCTGTTCGTATTTCAATTTTAAAGTTGCGTATGTTTTGACATCGACTTGAAGGGGGTAACTCTCATCTAATGTGAAATAAGGACCATAATTTGTTGATATGTAGTGTTCTATCTTCTTGTAATATTCGGTGGCAGATGGTTCTGTTGAATTGTTTTGTGGCACTACAGGAATTGGAAGTTTTGTAAATTCAAAAGGTGCATCTATGTCTACAAAGGGCATTGTACTGTTTGTATATTTCTGGTGTTTAAGACTATCAAAAGTTGTGTGTGCCAATAAAAAGGAGAAAAGTAAGGAGGCGGTGAGTAAAGAAAACAACAAGAAATGAGTTGACAATCGGAACATTCGTCTCTGTCTTTTTAGTTTATATAATGACAAAAATTTAATAATATTATTATAAATTGTAATTTTATATTGTGGATTTAAATATTTAAAAGGTTTTTGAAATTTTTAATTTATAGAAATAATCTATTAATATGATGTATAAGACATTGATACGAATAATTGAATGGAAAATTGTATAACATTACTGTTTTGATATAAAATATAATTATTATTGTGTGTCTAAATGATTATTACAATTATAAACTATCTAAAAGGTTTAATTTCAACTATAATACATAATTATGTGTGTAATTCTTCTTGAAATTTTAAATTTAAATGTGTTACAACCAAGGTTCCCCATTTTTTTGGTCTGTCAAAATAACTCCAATTTGAACTAGCAATACATTTAGGGTCTCTTAAACCCTCCGATAATTTTCCTGTTTTCATTATGCCTAAAGAAAATAAACAATCATAAAATTAAAAAGGTTAAAATTAAAGCTAAAAAAAGGGATAATTTAACGGATAAATTATGATAATTAGTATCAATTAACTTTAAAAAAAGAAAAATACTTCCGGTATAATGTCTTTTAGGCATTCCTTTGTAAAAAAAATGGATCTTAATTAGTGTTTCATAATGGAATAAATCGGGATAAAAATGACCTCATTTATGAAAATAAAACGGGTTCTTTTTTATTTTTACTTTGAAACGACAGGACTATGTCCTGACAACCAAAAATAGAAGCTTATTTATGAGAAATGTTTTGACAAAAACAAAAGATAAACAATAATATTTTACGACTTTTCTTCCGCTCTTCTTTACATAAATAAATTTTCTTTCTCACTTCTTAAGACAAAAGTTGAGAATCTCTATAAGAGATCAATTGTTTAGGTTTAATTTCTCAAATGTTCTGTTCATAAATTTTAATATGTTTATAATATCTTTATTAAATAATTGAAGGGTTTGTTTGTAATTATTCATTCATTTTTGTTCGAATAAAAACAAAGATTTTCTTAGTTATTCGGCAATTACCATATCATTTTTTTTCTAAAAATAAATTACCAATTTTCGGCAAATTTTTAATATTTTTTTAATAAAACTATGGTTAATTTTATAAAAACATGTTATTATATTATTAATTATTATATTATTAATTATTATATTATTAATAATTAATTATAGATTGTAATTAATTATTTTATCTATCTAGAATTAATCAAAAATTAGTTATAAGATAAATAATATTACATGATATTATAAATTATAAAATAAAAATGTCAAAAACATTGTTTTTTTTATTACCGACATAAACACAGTGGCTTGATGAGTATTTCAAATTCAACTCCTCCCCTCTTTTTATATTTGTTAAAGTTGGCACTGTTTGTATTTCATGTTGGTTACACATTTCAAGAACACCAAATTGGACTTTCATGTTGTGTTATAATGTGTTACCAACACAGACAATCTCAAGGCTCTTTATCTACTGGGATGGCAGAGACATTATTATATTTAATTTTTTTTGCCAACTTATTATTCAACAAAAGAACTGACATTATTTGAACTATTGAAATGTTTGAACGCTTCAATTAAAAGACACAAATGTTGTTCATTTTTCTTCTTCTTTTTTCGACTCAATATAAGGAGGTAGACTACAAGTATCAATGCAATAATATTAACAATAATAAAGAAGAAAAAGATGGCAACAAGCATACCAATAACTACTTCATAATTCATCATAATAACACAGCTCTCGCCATAATCTGAGATTTTGTCACTCCCTTCACATGCAGTGCACTTTGAGTTGTCTGCTGATGTACAACGTGGTACTGTGTGATAATCGATACAACTTCCTTTCAATAAGATTTTATCAACTCCATATAATAAACATACTTTATTGTTTATACAACTAACTTTGTATGAGAAACAACATCCATTTTAAAAGAAAGTGTTGTTACATAGTAAACACCCTTCAAGATTTATTGGTTGATTGACATAATTTGTTGGACTTACTTGCAATTTGAAGTATCTACCTTTAGATGACAAACACTCATCAATCTTCAAACAAATATTGCACGACTCGTCACATGCATCACAATCTTTCTCTATTTTGTAATACCCAACTTTACAAATTGCACAACTTCCACCAGCTGGTAATGCTACGCCACACTTTTCTCCAATTCACTAAGTGTCCGGCATTTCACTAACTTTCCTTTGCCGATTTTCATTCATTTTCCTTGCATTGAAAATGAATGCAAATAAACACTTTCCATTGACAACCGAGTTGCATTGTGTATCGGTAGTGCAAGACACCTGTTCTATATTAATAATCGTTGAACCTCCGCATATCAAAGACGTATTTTGATTTGTACAAACAACATTTGATACACCACAACTGTCACGCGTGCTTTGTGCTGTCAAATATGTTCCTGCTTAACAACCGAAAACCACTACATTTCTTATTAACCCATACGCACACTATTGTACACAAACATTTCCGTTATTCAGAGTATAATTATTATCACAAGTAAAACACGTCAAAACTTGCTTCTCAAAGTTCTGGTAGTTACAAGGTTCAATTTGTGGCGTACATTTTGAGTTGATTGATATTTGGTCTGAACAATCACATGAAGTTAAAGTTGGTGACTCACAATTTCCAGACGATACACACTTTAAGTTGGAAACAATGAAATTGTTAATACGGTTCAGACAGCTTTCTCCGTTGAGTAAAATGTCACGGTTAATTTCATTTTTAACACATTTTAGAGTTCATGTTGTGTTTATTGAAGTATTCGTTTGATTGGCACTATTCACATTTTTTACCAGCCAAGACGTAAGGGAATATACAACTAGTGCTATTTTCTTTGCCAACAGAGATTGTATCACAGGTATTGCAATGGTTGATTGTGTCGTGACACTTTGTGCATGTTGCCTCACTGAACTTGTATTCGCCAATTGGACAACTGTCACATCTGCTGCTTTTATGCACAAATAGATCTTTGTGCCAGGCACTTCTTTGCATCAGATGAAAACTTGTTGCAATGATAATTTTCTCACGGGAGACACATTTACCAAATGATCGTCTGGACAGTACGCATTTGTACATATTTTGCACTTCCTTGAAAAGTCTGGCGAACAGGTGATTAAATCTGCATCAAATTATTTGCAGGCAATATAATGGATTATTGAAAATGTGGTTTGGAGCACAGCCACACATTGTTGTATTGCATTGCCCATTACACGTTGCGTCACAAAAAATGCATGTGTGTTGTATAGCATATTGAGCACTCTCTCTTGTCACCAACAGATGTTGCACAATTTATATCAAAAGTTTTGCAGATGACACATTGAAGTGATGCAACACTGTCTGGTACATACCCATTTTGGCAACTCGTGCATATTCCACTGACAGTGTCACATTAACACTACATGTTGTGTCACGGCTTTGACACTTAAAGCCACCAGATGTCTATGGGTAATACTCTGATTAGCATACGTTATATTTTCTTTCTGCACCACCTCAACACTCAGCACAATTTGTGTTATAGTGCTCACAAGTGATTTGTGAACACTATAACAAAACCGTAATTTGACAAGCAGCTTTTGCAATATCCAGTATCGGTGTAACAATTTACAATGCATGTTGTGTCACTTTGGTAACATCTTTTCTTGTCATTCAATTGAAGAACGAGGATATTGTTTGTTGTGCAATTCACACAGCTGCATATTGCATAAATTGCACACGTCAAACATTGAGAATCAAATGTGCTGCACTTTTCATATGTGGTGGTGCTACCAGCTTGGACAAAACTGTTTTCAATGGATCACATGAAGTTTTCAGTTGCTGAAAACTTCATATCGTGTTTGTTGTTTTTGCATATGGTACATTTCCTATCATAGTTGCTGTCACACATCTCATATCATGTATTGAATACAGTATGGATGATACAGTTCATACCATTTTGACTACCTATCCAGTGCACACACATGTTGTTGTGTCACACTTGTTACTACATATTCTATCACACAAAATACACTTCCCATTGCAGTTTGGGTAATACCCTGTTATACACGAAACGCACTTTACACTTTCAAAGTTGTTATCACAAACAGAACGATTGTCATCAAGCAATGAGCATTTTTGAACGTCTTTGTTTCTGTTGGGTTAAAGACCTGGTTTAGTGAACATCAACATAAAGTTCACGCCTTATTGCTTCCATTACACATTTATAGCAAAGTCAACTTTTCCCATCACTCAGTGTTGGTAACCACTTGTACAATTTGTGCAGATGCGGCTTCCATTTGAAGCATGCAAATTTGCTTGTCAATGATCATCTAACGTCTGGCAGCTCTCGCACACTTTTGAAACAGGACTTGTCAACACATATTGAGACAAACAGCCTTAAGATTCCGATTTGTCTTTTTTTAGTTTTCTTTTGGATAAAAAAGTTGTAATTAAATATTAATATTATTATTAATGAATATTAAATATTATGGTAATATTATGTTAATTATTGATAAAAATTATTATTAATTATCGTTTATTTTATTATTAATTATTACTCATTTAAAATATTTTATATTTTGAAACTCTAAATAAATAAAAAAAAAACACTGTTTTCTTTTTAATAATACTTTTATTATAATTGTATTATAATTCTTGTTATAATTTTTTCTCACTTTTACCAACTTATTTTTGGCTTTACCAACATAAATTGTTTATTTAAATATTGGAAAAATTAAAAAAAACAGTAAGAACTATTTAAAAAAATGGATATAAATAATTGTACAATTTTATTGTTATCTTGAGAAGTATGTTATTATAACGAATCACCCCTTAATGAAGACGCAAAATACATAGGATCAACAATAAACGCGTCTTTTTGAAAATCTGGCTAATTTT